CACAAAACCCTCCCAACTAGCATCTCCTTTAATCTGAGTAATCTTTAATCTTTAATTAGACCCAATCGGCATCACTTGAATCACATATTTCTACTCATATATATTTTCCAGCTCTTTGGTTTTTTGCAAATCACTTTTCACTTATGTTAGAAGCACAGAATTTATTCAGTCTGGGTAGATGATTCTGTCTTAGTCAATTCATAAATGTACTTTGTGTACATTTTATTTTCTATATAACCTCTGCAATTTCAATGGAAAAGCCATGCTTTACTATTTATAAAACTTACTAAAATAATCAGATGACATCTTTGAATGTACAGTTGTTGAGTTTCCTTTGCTACTGTTTTCAGCAATATTAGGCTGAGCATGAAACCACTTCTAGCACAGTACACTTTTCTTTAATATTCTGGATGTTATATAAAAATATATATCTTAAAAACTCATGACTAAACTGGGAAAATCAGAGGTTTCCTTATAGGACAGAAATGTCAAATAATCAAGCAATCTAAAGGAGTAAGTGAAGCATTAGGACCAAAGTTTTCCATAGTGTTGTCTACTGATCCCTGATGGTCTAGAATGTGGGTTGGTTTTTTTTAATAGTTAATTTTTTTTTTTGTGTGTGTGTGTGTGTGTTTTTCTTTTAGGAATCTCCACATGGCTTTCCATGGTGGCAGCACCAATTTGCAGTCCCCCCAAAAGTGCAAAAGGATTTATTATTTTTTTTTCGCTGCCTCCTGCACACCCCCTACTGGGAATGGAGCCTGAAACCGGGACATGTGCCCTGTCTGGAAATTGAACTGGTGATCTCTTGTTGCATGGGATGACTCTGAAACCACTGAGCCCTAGAATGTGGGTTTTAATGCATTTTGTATTCTGGGAGATAGCAGTCTGGGGGTCCTATCAGGATGAGAAGATCTAAAATCCCCCAAATCCAAAAAGGGTAACACCCTCAGTAAAACAGAAAAATTTCTGTTCTGCAGATTGAGATAGTGAGACTAGAAGCCTGCCAAATATGGCTTTGGGTATCAGTGGTTGAGCGTCGACCTACAAACCAAGAGGTCACGGTTTGATTCCTGGTCAGGGTACATGCCCAAGTTGGGGGCTCAATCCCAAGTCGGGGGCTGTTAGTGGGGGGGTGAGCAGGAGGCAGCTGATCAATGATTTTCTCTAGTTGTTGATGTTTATATCTCTCTCTCCCTCTCCTTTCCTCTTTGAAAGCAATAAAAATGTTTTTTTTTTTTGAAAAAAAAGGTTAACCCAGTGTTCAGAATTGGTATGTCTCCTACGTCACACAGGCAGAAAATATGTGCACAGTTCTTTTTCTGGAGGGTTTTAACTCAGGCCTTGAAGAATGACCACAGATAAAATGCCACAGAACACAGACTCAGACACAATTAACAGACGGATGGGAAAGACTTCTGTATTAGTATTAATTTTTACAGTAACTGTTAGCATAAAAATTCTCTAATATTTTTGATAAGTAGCATTTTCTATTTTCTAAGATTTAATAAAATTAGAAATAGATGTTGAATGTTTGAAATACATTGTGAATTACAAAATACCAGATGCCCATTGCAGGAAGATTCCTGCAAGAATAGGGCTTCGCTCCCGTCTCTGCTGCTCCTACCCCGCCCTTCTCTGCTGCTTCTCTCCTGCCCGTCTCTGCGACCTTGGCTCCATTGCTTGGCTCCCTTCTATGGTGTCTTCAGTGTTCGCTTCCAGCTGGTATATGCAAATTAGCCACCATCTTTGTTGGTGGTTAATTTGCATATCACTCTGATTAGCCAATGGTGGGCATAGCGAAAGTATGGTCAATTTGCATCTTTGTCTTTTATTAGTATAGGATTCTCTGGCTTTTTATTTTAAAAAAATATTGATTTTAGAGAGAGAGGAAAGGAGAGGGAGAGAAACATCATTGATTGTGGAGAGTGCCTGGGAAGGCACATTGAGCATTTCTTTAATTATTGTCAGCTGAATCCAGTGGTGTTGGCAGAGCCACGTCCTGGAGACATACCATGCCAGAGGCAGGTACATCGTCTGCCTGACCCTTAGCTCAGGTGCCAGGGTGTGGGTTTCATTATCTAAGTTCAGCCAGGCACAAGGAATAGACACAATTATCCAGGCTTAGCCAGGAGTGACTATTACAAAGAAGCTACAAGAATGAAAAATTATAGCTTGATCTTCAATCATGATTTCTCATAATTTCTTTTGTTTTAAACTCTAGTAAAACTGGTCTTTAATCATAATTTCTTTTGTTTTAAACTCTAGCAAAATTTCCCAGAATCATGCTGTATATAATAAACACGCTGCACTGGCTCTGGGTCACTGTCTCTCCATCAGAGGACAACTGTCTCACCCAGTCCCAGCTTTTCCCCTCTGTCTCTGTGTCTGTCTCTTTCATTTTCTCAATCCCTAGCCACCCCTACTCAGGTCTCATGTCTGCTCTCTAGCCACGCTGGTTCCGGTAAAGAGAGAAATACTTTATAATTGATCAGTTGCCTCCTGCAAGCCCCTACTGAGGACCCAGCCTTAAACCCAGGCATGTGTTTTGGTGCATGGGACATGCTCAACCAACTGAGATACACAGGTTAAGGCTTTCTAGGCTTTTTATAGGATGACATAAACCATTGTTTGCAATTCCTTCCCAATTATTTTCTTCATTTGACCAAAGTTCACCTAATAAAAATAGAATAATGTGAGAGATTTCTTTAGTTTATTCTTTTCCCATCAAAATGTTGGATTCATATTGGGAGCAATATTAGAACATTTAAATATCATTTTCTTTGAATAGTACTTATTATGTGATGGTCAGAGTTCTAAGTACTTTCATATATTGACTTATTTAGTGCTCACAATAAGCAATAAGTTGTTACTATTATGATCCTCATTGTATAGATGAAGAAAAGGAAGCACAAAGAGGCATGTTGCCCAAGATCACACACCTGGGAAGTCTTCAAACCTGGACTGATTGACTATAGAGTTGCACTGACCCCATGTTATACTGCATCTAAGAATGTTTTTCCACTGGGGGGTAGGGGAGGCTAGGGGACTGTCTAGGGCGGGGGTAAAAAATGGACACATATGTAATACCCTTTGTAATAAAAAATTAAATTTAAAAAAAAGAATGTTTTTCCATGATTTTAATGTAAATTAGGATCCCTTGATTTCTTTGATTGCATCGTTCATTTCTGCCTAAACATTAGTACAATTTAAAACAATTAATTAAGCCCTTTCCAGGTAGCTCAGTTGGTTAGAGAGTCTTCCAGATACACCAAGGGTTTGATCTTCACTCAGGCCACATACAAGAAACAACCGCTCCCCTCGCCGATTTGGCTCAGTGGTTAGAGCATTAGCCTGCCAACTGAAAGATCCCTGGTTAGACTCCAGTCAGGGGCAAGTACCTGGGTTGTAGGTTTGATCCCGGATCCTCTCTCCGGTTGGGGTGTGGGAGGCAACATATCCATGTATCTCTCTCACATTGATGTTTCTCTCTCTGTTTCTCCTCCCTTCCACTCTCTCTAAAAATCAATCAAAAAGAGGATGAACAAAATAAAGAAAGCAACCATTGAATGCATAAATAAGTGGTACAACAAACTGATTCTCAAAAAAAGATTTTTTAAATTATTAAAAAATAAAGAAAATAATTAATTAGTTTAATGCCTGTCTCCTTCTCCAGGCTCTTTTTCTTTGAGAGCAGGAGCCATATCATACCATTTCCCTGCCATATACCCAGTGCCCAGCACACAGTAGATGGTCAATAAATAGTTAAGTGAATGAATGCATAAAAGGTAACTAGGGAAAATCTTTACTTTATGGAGTAACATCCCCCTCTTGTGGAATTTTAGAATATGTTCATTAAAAATTATAAAATATATTTAAAAATTTTATTTATTGATTTGAGAGAAGGAGGAGAGAGAGAGAGAGGGAGAGAGATTTGTTATTCCACTTATTTATGCATTCAGTAGTTGCTTCTTGTATGTGCTCTGACCAGAGATGGAATCACAACCTTGGCGTATGGGGACAATGCTGAAATTAACTGAGTACCTGGCTGGGGCAAAACAATGTATTTTAATAGGGTACGTTTTCACAGGAGAATTGACACTCAAGTGGTATTTCCCAGACTTGTATTAGAGTCTTTTTTGTTGGACTGGTTCTTTTGAGAGGTGCTGTATTTCGTTTACTAGGTTTGCTTGGTTAAACGGATTTCGCAACTAGGTAATGAGCTGGCAGCAGTTTACATGCAGAGCTCATTTGATATGTGGCAAGGTAGAATCCATGAACAAACTCTTGGATCACAATGATCATTCAGGCACACGCAGATCCTTTCCTTGCAGCGTTCAAACAGCCATCTAAGTGGTTTTTCAACCCTCTGGCCCTTTAAATACAGTTCCTCATGTGGTGACCCAAATATAAAATTATTTTCGTTGCTACTTCATAACTAATGTTGCTACTGTTATGAATCGTAATGTAAATATCTGATATGCAGGATGGTCTTAGGCGACCCCTGATGAGGGGTACAAACTCCCCATCACGTTGTACCCACAGTGTGCGATGGCTACAGAGGCATTGTGTAAAGAAATAGCCTCTGCCCTACCATCACACGCTAGGAGGAGCAGATTCCACTCCATTTTAGAGATCTTAGGTTTTATTTGTATGCTTTGCACACATAATGTATCATGATTAAAAAATATATATACCAATGTGTTAAGAGGACTTACTTCCCTTGATCTACCTATTATGGGCAGCTCATTTTACGAAGTTAGTAAACCTTGCTATTCAAATGGTCGAATGCATAATGTTTAGCCAGTCTGATTATAAATGCAGATTACAGACACCAAGTCTTTTCCCCGCCTCTTTGAACCCACACTAGCCAACCACCGAGGCGGGAGGTCTGAGGCGCCAGCCAGAGCCGCTCCCTCCCCGCGACTCTATGGTCCGCAGTTTACTCTCATTACTGAGAACTCTATGGTTCCGGGGCGGGCTGGGAGGCTTCGTTTGAAGACCCGGCGGGAAGATGACAGGCACACCTGTCACTGGGCCGGGTTTCTCCCGAAGGGGAGGACGCTGGAACTGTGGCTGTCGCTGAACAGCCAGGAGGGGTTCGCGATGAGTCTCCCGCGCCGGGGTGGGAAGCGGCGGCGTTCAACATCAGACTCGGACTCCTTCTTGGGAAGCAGCGCTGACCGCAGTGACAGCCGCCTGCTGCCCTCGGAGCCGGTGCTGAGCCCGCCCGCCGGCCTGGGGCGCAGCTGGAAGGACAGTGACCGCCGCGTGGCCGCAGCAGCAGGTACTCCCAGGCCTCTGGGACAGGGGCGAGGTGGACAGGTCAGCTGCGCTCTGTGTAGGGAGGTGTCCGGCCCGCGAGGAGCTTGCTTGTTAGCACGATCTACTAGGTTTCTGAGTCATCGTCTCAGTTTGTGACTCGGGGTCGGCCTGGCAGGTCAGTTTCAGCTTATCTTCGGCGACCGCGTGGCAGTAACATTCAAGTGTTTTCTGGGTCCTTCGAGCTTTGCAGAAACAGCTTCCTGGTTGGCCAAATCTCGTCCCCTGTAGAAGGCTCGCTCCTAAAAGCGCCCAGTACTCCCTACAGATCCTCACTGGACGTGCTTTATGGCAGGTGTGCTTTATATGGCTTCCTCCCGAGGCAGGAGTTCCACGGATGTCATATGTTAAGTTAAATTCAACTATTAGTTAACTTTTTTCTTTTTTTCCTGAAAGGGGAATGCAAGCAAACAGTTCCTGATGATCAAATAGACAAGCTGCTGTTGGCAAATTGGGGACTTCCTACAGCGGTTCTGGAGAAATACCACAATTTCGGTGTAAAAAAGATGTTTAAATGGCAGGCAGAGTGTCTTTTGCTTGGAGAGGTTCTGGAAGGAAAGAATTTAGTCTATTCAGGTATTTAAATTTGTGCAAATTAATTTCTTTTAAAGGCATTATGAAAGTGAATACTCTATTGAGGTAGTTATGGTTGTTTTTGTTGTTTTTTTTTAAAAAAAGGTGGTTGAGAATCTGCTTTGTAACTAGAAAAAAATCTTAAAATATATATGAAAAGTGGAGTCTCGTATGCATATTTAAGTTATGCAAAATCCATTATATGGCTGGGTTGGGGAAGGAAAAAAAGACAACTTAAAGAGAGCTATTCTGCTTGCCATTCCTCTCAACAAACTTATGTCCCAGAGTAAATGTGCAATGTGTTCTTCCTCCAGTCTCAATTGTTTTTCAGTTTATGAACATTATAAATTATATGCGTATAAATTGACCTGTTTGTACAGGATTGAATACATAAAACCATATGTAATATACTTTATAGAAAATTTATACGGGCTGTCAGGGGCAACTCTGACATGCATACTTTTAACAGATGAGGTGGACAGGTCAACTGCACTATGTGTAGGGTGAGGAACTTGCTATACTGACTTTAGGAATTAATTCATTGGTAAAATGTACTTCCTTAGTTCTCTGAAATTGTGAGTCATCAGGTTTTTTGTTATTGCTGCAAAAAGTAGATAACTTGTCAGTAGATATAATTTCAGGCTGTGTAGTCAGACTGGTTGGGTTTGAAAACTGTCTCTACCATGTATTGGCTGTGTAACCTTGCAAATCACTAGAGAGAGAGAGAGCATGAGAGAACACTTAGAACAGCTTTTTGGCACATAGAAAGTACACAGTAAATGTGAACTTGTGGTAGTGGTTGAGTGGCTTGATCCTTTCAGTTGCTAAAAACCAAAATATGGATGTCTTCATAACTCTGATCACCAATTCATGTCAATTAATCACTATGTCCAGTGTCTATAACTTCTAATAACTGATTCTGAATACCTCTTTCTGTTCCAAGTCCATTACCTGTTTTACTATCTTTCTTTATCTCTTTTATAGATTATGCTCACTATTATCTTTCTTCTAGATTATGCAATAGCATTTCTC